GCAAATTTTAAATTCTTCCACTCTGTTTAATGCGGGTGTAACACCGAAGAGAAATTCGAAGACCGCGGAACGTAAGCCAACTCCTTTTAGACCTAAGGCTACTGTTCCAAATAACGAAGAAGAAGAAGATTGTGAAGAGGGTGCACACTCAATAACAATAGAAGTTTCTAAAATGGAGCCTAAAGAAATTGTATTGCGTAGCATTCGCAAACGTTCTTTGTCCGTGTGCATTGGTAATACAGAAGCAGAAAATAGGCGCAAAAATGTCACATTTTATAGTCCTGCTAATCAAACGACTATATTGGAAGACTTGGACACACGCATTGTGCAAAGTGTGAAGAAAAATTACGGCGCAAAAACGGGTGGCAACGTATCATGTAAGCTTAAGTAGTTTATTGGTTAAATGGGCATTCCATGTTACGTTTTTCATACTTATTTATCATTGCAGTTGTAACTCAGCGTCGCAAACGGTCTATGTCCTTTGATGAGGCTTTGATAAATAAATCAAAATCTAGAAGTGAGTTTTTTGATAATATACTGTTACTCACAAAATTAAAAATGATTATTATTATTATATGATTAAAAAAATCGCAAAAAGAGGGCGGTAATTAATATGAGTAAAATAATTTAGTTTATCACTTAATCATTATTTAATTTAACTACATTTTTTTGAATCGCTTAAAAATGATTATTATTCAGTTTTATATTTTCGAACAAAGGAAATAATTAGTATTTTATTGTTATTTTTCCGATCACAAATAAATATTTTGTTATTTTAATTTTTTTTGCTCAGAGACAATTATTGGGTTTTATTTTTCCATTTAAAAATAATGATTATAAAAATTAAAAAGCCATACATACGCAACCAACTGAAATTTTGACGTGAAATATTTGTGACATTGCTTTTAGTAAAATGTTGCTACCTTTGAAAAGGATACATCGGAAATTAAACTGGTAGAACTTTTCAGTTTTTTGAATGCTCATTATTCTTAAGTGTAAAGATAAAAAGTAATAATAATTATTATCTTTGAGCGAAAAAATAAAAATCATAAGATAATGATTATTGATGATTTTTTGGTTGATTTTTTTTTTGGTAAAAATTTAAAAAGTAATGATTCTTTGCGGCCCTGCTCAAAAATCAAAGCGAAGTTTTAGACATTTGAAATTAGCATATTGCTAAACTAAAATTTAATGGGCTATAAAAATGCATTCCTTTTTTTTTTGGAAATTCTTTTAAAAAGTTTGCAATTTTGCTGAAACTTTGCATGCTTTATATGGGAAAAAATTGTCAAAAATCAACGCGAAATTTTAGTCATTTGAATTAAGCACATTATTATACTAAAATTCAATTGGCTATAAAACTTCATTCTTGAGTTTTTTTAGAAATTCTCTTAAAAAGTTGCAATTTTCCTGAAACTTTGGATGTATAAAAAAATCCCGAAAACACCATATGGAAAATATGTGTTGCATACTTGATTTTTTTTTTTAGAAATTCCTATTGAAAAGTTTGCAATTTTGGTGAAACTGCAGATTTTTCTTAATTTTCGTATACAGTTTCATTCTTGGACTTAAACTGGGTTTGATAAAATATAAAATATGGCTTATTAATATTAATATTAACAAAATGAAAACCGTACACTCATTTTTGCGAGTAACAGTACATCAGATTTTAACTTATACTATTTTAAACAGGCCAAACACCAAGCAAAATACACATGACACCACAGAAAGCCAAGGCAGCCCGTACAAAGTTGCCAAACTTTGCAGCAATACATCAAAAACATTTTGAGAAGATGGAAAATCTTGTGGATCATGTAAATCGCAAGGCAGAGCGAGCTAAAATACTCATCAACTCTGCTACTAAACAACGCGTTGGTAAGTTAATTGTCATTTGAAAAATAAACCACACTCATTAGATTATTTCCGTAGCGTCTGCACAAAAGGAAGCAAAAACTCAGCATGGCGTTGGTACTCCATCCGCCGTAGCAGAAAAACCCAAAGCTGTAAAGCGAATTGACTTACCGGATTCGTCCAACTCAACATTTACCCAAACAAGTAATACATCGTTGTATAAGGCAGTTGAGACAACACGCAAAGATTTGAATGATTCAAAACTTCCTATTCCACGTGTTGGTGTTTGCAAGCCGATGCTAGGTATGCAAACGGCCCAAAAAGAAAATCGTCAAGTAAATTTACCAGATCCACGGTTAGGTATAATTAAGCCACATACAACCACCAAAGCCAGCAGCAAAAATAAGCAATTGACGCCGGCAAAGAACGCGTTCAAACCGACACAAACACGTCAAGCACCCAAGCCAGCTTTCAATCTATCTACGGCACTAGAATCACATTTTAACTATACAAAGTTGGATGTCGCAACTGCATCATTTGCGAAAACCCATACCAAGGCCAAAAGCGCACCACCAGCAGCCATGTCGATTGATGAAAAAATAGCTAAACGGCGCCAACGTCACATGGATATGTTCAAGGCGCGTGGAGCGAATGCGCGTACTACTCCGGGTACGGCGGAAAAGAACTACGGGCAACTTATACGCGGCGTACGTTCAAATCGTAGATTTGAGCTGCAAATGGCGCATCGTAAGAATATGGAACATTAAATCGTTTACAAATGCATTCTATTTTTAACATTTACCTCTAGTTGTATGTTCTTTAGTTTACAGCTTTTCAGGCTTTATTAACCAAGTTTTGTATGAGTTTATTAATGTTTGACCTGGATGCGGTCAACAAGAATCACTTTAATCTTGAATATTCAATACATTAAATTTTAATTATTAATTTTTTTAAAAATTGTTATTTTTTCTCGAGTGAAACTACTTGCATTAGATATTCACAATTGGATAGGAAAGAGTTCAGCCAGAGACCAACACTGTCGAGCTTTTCGTTTTGACCAAAAATTCTTTCTAATTTGTTGTCACAGTGAAAATGCTTCTTCACTGCTCCCAATTAAGCGCTAGTCACGTCCAATTTAGCCATATGTAAGCGAGTATAAAATCTCAAACCTAATTTTACTTACCACTGCTACTGCTTTTGTCATTTCTATGTTTGTTTTCCTGATCTAATTTTATTTCAGAGTTGACAAAGTACATACCATTCATACATACCATACAAACATACCATACAAATATGAATGGTTTCCGGAACGTTGTGGCGAGCGAAATTCTGCTTTTCTTAAATGTTTCCCTTTTTGTTTGTGTTTCGGTTTGTTTACTGTGTGCCTCTCGTTCGGAAACGTGGCCAGTTCTATGAAATTGCGTTGTTTCACATCGTTAAGGTACTGCAAAAGATGGCGCGTAGGATAGGGGCAAAAAGGGATAACTTTTTTTTTTTTTATTCTTCATCGGACGTGTTCAACTTAATGTTGGCTGGTAGCTTACGGCTGTATAACTAGTTGAGGTAAAAGCTTTAGCAGGCGGCAGCGTTGATCCGGATTAACTCGGACTTAATCCAGATCAGTTAATTCTGTTTATGCTTTAACCAGCCGAATTAGGGTATTTCATGCTTTTTAAAGTGTTTGATAGATGTATAGATTTATTAATTTCATCCGAATCAAAGTAGATTTCGAGCTATTTTAAAACTTAATTACACGAAGCAAAATTAATACACCCGACTGAATTGCTTACTCTCTTATTTCGCTCTTTTTCAGGTTTACCTACCCGCTCACCACTATCTAATCTCCCACCCACTTATCCGCACATGCGCACAAGGTTAATCTTGCTTTTGCAGCCTACACACTCGGCACGTGACTTTTGTTTACTTTAAGCACATACCGATAGTGGCAAGTAGCTAAATAAAGGAATCGCGCAAATTTGTGTGTTTGTTGAAATGATTTCTCTGTAGTAAAATTAAAACTCTTTCGGCACACCGGCTGCGGTTTTAGCAACAGAGACATTGTCGTCAACATCTTCATCACATGTGTCAAGCGTGGCGAAATTCTGTGCTGAATTTTGCGTTGCTTGGTAACCTACTTTTACCAGCAGTGCACCGCATATTCTACTACTCAGGGATGCACATTGCTTGCATTCAAGTTTTCACGCATACAGAGAAACGTTGCTAACTGCATGATGTTGGCGCTTTGTGGCCTTTGGTGACGGTGCGCTTTGGCGTTCGCAAATATATGCATGTATTTCACAAAAAGTACTTGCGGGTGGGGGCGTGTAACCGTTTTATGATGAATATTTTTTTTCTTTTTTGCCCAGATGTAATTCCTAACTAGTAAGCATATGTATGTATGTATGTATGTACATGTTAATGCGTTCGCTCGCAGGTGTACTATGTATGTATGTAGTATAGTAATTGTGCAATTGTAATTTGCATTCGTTCTCCTTGCAACGCACATTTACATTCGGGCAGTGTTGTTGACGGAAGTATCTGAGTGCATAATCACGGCTCTCGTTTGCTCGCTCATTCGTTTAAATGGAATAGCTGGTGCTATGTACTATATTGGGTTTTGCTACAGGACTGAGATATAATGCGGTCTTTTCGTTGCCGCACCAACAGCGCAATGCAGCAGCAGCCATGTGACCTTGGGCTAATAACAGCTGCTATGCACATCCATGCTACGCATGTGGCCATTCATATTGTCGTTTAAGCTACAAAAGCGCGTATCGTCACTGTGCAAAACAGAGTAACTGACATTTGCTACCAAAAATTGGATTTGCTCACACAAGCTCATCGCTCAATCCTTATCCATTCGTCCTGAAATATACTGACCCGGAATGCGATTGCTTTATAAAAAAGAGTAGCATTCGAAATGTGAGTGTTTTTACTCTCGAGAAAATAATTTGTGCAGCCTTACTTACATACGCGGTTTTGTACTTTAAACGACGATATGCACATGCAGGGGCGAACTCAGGTAGGGGTTTTGGGATGGCAAAGAAGTACACTGCCAAACTTGAGGGGAAGGCAGGTGGTGGGGTGAGCTCCTTGATAAGAAAACCATTTTCAGGTAAATGTGTTTTTTAATATAAAATAATGCCAGGAGCAGGTATTAATGTACCTTTGTATTTTGGAAGTATTTTACAGAAAAAGTTTACTAAGTACATATAACTTTGTTTATACATGCAGTTAAAGAAACTTCATGAAAAGACCAGATTTTTTTAATTCAAAAAAACGGTGACACTTTTACCAGAATTTTTTTTTCAAGGAGATCACCCCCGCACGTATCTTCTCCTCGAGTTTGGCAGGGGTTTTCTTGGACACCCTGTATATACTACACGTATATCTCTTAATGGAGTTTTAAGATTTTCGAAGCTTTCGAAAGGGTAAATATAATTTGACTCAAATTTCTCCTTTCAACATTTTCCATGTTCAAAATCACTTAGAGTTTCAACGTGAACGCGGTGTTACTGATACAACTAATTTACCTATTTGGGAGAAAAAGTTTGTTTTCAAAGTCCGTGAATCACCAAAACAACAATTAAGGCGCTCCGACGCAGAGGACCTTGCTGCATCTAATTTTAGAGTGAGTCACCAAGTTCCACAGTGCCCAGTATATAATGATGTGATAGATAAAAATCCTATTGGAGTTTTACTACCATACAAAATGGTCCCTGCTGCAAGTTTTAAGAAAATTTGACCACCGCTGTTTTCAAGATGTATTTGCCACATGCAAATACATATCGTGTAAGAACACCTTTACAGGTATTTTTTCAATGTACATACGGAGCATAGTCCAAAAACATTCCTAGCCCGATTCGTGCACATAGGCGCAACTTCATGTGACACTTGCTTCCAGTGGAACGCTCCTTCTTAAGAATAAATAAATCATAATTACGAAGAAAAAATGGGGAACAAATATTAAATAGTTTAGCTACAATTCTTTCTTTTAAAGACGAAGCAGTAGAGAAATGTGATTTCAAATTTTTTTCTGTATACATACAGTGACGAACAAACCTATTGGCACAGTGAATTTTTCGCAATATATGTAAAGATTTTTATTCTAATTTATTTTCGATAATTTTTTATAAAAATATAGTTCATCCTGAATACACCAAAAACTACACAAATGAAATCTCTAAACTTTGTGGAAAACTCCGGAAATTTCAATAAATTTGCATAATAATTTGAAACTTTGTATTCAGATTTTCTAGAAAAAATTTTAGTATGCAGTTTTATAGCCTATTCAATTTTAGTATGACAAAGTGCAAGTTTGAATTTGCTTGAAAATCACGTTGATTTTTGGCAATTTTTTCACGCAGGTTCTTCCATTCAAAGTATGTTCGACAAATATTTTTTGTATGGAGAAAATGAGCGACACCTTCCACTAAAAAAAATCTCTATTCTTTCTAAAAAACTGAAATCAAAAATGCAAATTAGTATGCAAGTTTATTAAATTTTCCTTAATTTTGCACAAAGAGAGATTTTACTTTTACGTTTTTTGGTGTAGAATGAACTATATTTTTATAAAAAAAAAAATTATCAAAAATAAATTAGAATAAAAACCTATGCATATATTGCGAAAAATTCACTGTGCCAATACTTTTGTTCGCCACTGTATGTTAGCGCTCGAATTTAAAAAATTTAAATATAGGCATATTTGGTGGACCTGATTTAATGAAAGAAAGAAATTTTTTATTTTACTACTTTAGCTCATTTCACCTAGTACCCTTGTATTTTTTGTTCCCCATGTAATCTGTTTGCTAAAAAGCTGAAAGTACAATGATGGTCGGTTAATCGACTGGAGACCGCATTGTGGCCAGCAGCTTGTGGCCATTCCCGGAAGAGAAACTAATTTGCATTTGGTTCGATTACGATTTTGCGAATGTATGGGAGTGGATTTTGTAGTTTTAGCACTAGTGACTAGAGGTTGGAGTTGTTTAGGTACATACCTGATTGTTGTGTATGTATGTTTGTGTGTATAATAGGTAGATGTGGGTGAATAACCACTAACTAAAAGTGTACATATTAGCATTTATGTACTGTTGTTGTTGTTGTAGCGGCTACAACAACAGCATTTATGTACTCGTATACCCTGCTTATGTACTCGACCAAAATTAAACGTTCGTCAGGAAATGCGAAAAACTATTTCGTAGCACATTACCTTAAGTTTTTTCAACAAGTTATAAAAAAAAATTTACTCAAGATTTTGCTGAAAGGTAAATAAAAACTGTGTGTACGTTTTTAGTGCTTGATTTCAAAAGTGTCAAATTTAGAGTTGTGTCACTTTTGAAGATCGTGTACGATATTTCTGTCAGTTCAGATATTGGTGTAGAAGTTGTAAGGCTAAAAATTCACTTAATGAAAGCTAAAGAGTTGTGACTAAATAAATATTTTGATGAGGAGTTTGATATATGTACACTAGGGTGGTCCAAAAATAGTAAAGTCGGAACTGTAATGCTCTCACCCCCTAGGATTGTTCTATATTCAAAAAAAGGAATAGGGGTTTCCTTTTTTGAAAACAAAAAATATTTAGCGGTCGCTCAAAGCGCTCAAAGTTTTCCATGTATTTTTATATGGGGAAAATAAAACTTTTCGTAGAAATGGCATAGAATTCTTGAAAGTCAATATTTTTCGATCGAAAAACTCTGGTTCTCTTCAGGAGACTTTCAATAATAATACCCAATTGTTTATTTAACCACCTTTTAATACTAACGATTATTTATTGGTCGCCCCATAGTATTTTGCGTGAAATTGCTCTCGAAATTTCCCAAAGTCTGCTCATTTTTGTTAGACCGGCATTATGAGAGATTTGTAGAGCAGACGCGTTAAAAGTTTCCATTTTAAGGATCTAACCTTGTTTTGGAATTGCA